ATTGATAATCATCAAGTTTTAAGTGTGTTTTCTTGTTACTTCGGCGATGTAACACCCGAAACAGAAAAACAGGTATTTGTTTTATTATTGTACCTTACACATGGATTAGGGTAACAATATTTGGTAAAAGTAAGGTCATGGTAGTAATGATTTCAAATACTAACTAATATCTGAGCATGATACTAATTTAGTATGTTTCTTTCTTGATTAAAAACTGTAACACCCGAAACGTTTCGGGTATTACATTTTTATTTATATGTCGATAATGTGTGTATATTGCTTGGAGAAGTGAAAAAGTATTACTGTGAGGGTCCTTTGACCTCCCACTAGCGCTGGCATCGGAAAAGGAGTCATATTTCTCAATTTAAGACTTTTTTGAAATGTCGACTTAACACTAAAATTAAGGTATTGCTAAAAAGTGTCGATGTTTGACATTTCCAATAAATATCGTAATTAGAAATTAAAGTAATGCTATTTCAAGCCAAAAACAATAGAAAAAGCTATATTCTGAGGAAAAATTAAACTTGAACTTTGTATATTTTTTAAAAAAAGCTGCTTCGTAATTTCAAACCAGAATTCGCTCTATTTGTGTTTATTTGTTGTACTCCTTATTTTGTAGTACCTAGAGACTAATAAAACACCGATTTTATCGATAAAACGCGTTGAATTTTCGTACTCGTAACACCCGAAACAGAACCATTGTAACACCCGAAACAAAGAAAAAATTTATAAAAAAATAGTAAAACGTTTTATTTAACAGTGATTGTATGTTACATGGTTTGTAAATTTCATACTTTAGAAGTCCTGTAAGTTTTAGGTATGATTCCTTAAGAAAATTCGCTAAATTTCGAGTAAATGCAGCAACAGTCAGAACATAGAGGCAAAATCTCGTAACGCCCGAAACGCACACTTTTCGACTCATATTTCCGTTATCCTACATTCTAAGCTGTACAAACTTTATTATTTAAATAAAACAACTAAAAACGGACAGATTAAGGCACTAACATTATTAAAATACTATTTCAAAATACATGAAATTGTTGAATATATGTGTACGAACGTAACACCCGAAACGATGGAATGACCCTATTACAAAATATCGCTCAAATAAATTGTTGTTGTTATGTTTTGTTTATCAATTTTAGTTATGCATTTAACGTAAAATATACTTGGATGTCATGTCAGTTTTAATAACGTAAAAATGCTAACGTCATTGTTATTAGTTTCAGTTGTACAAAGCTATAATAGTTTAGATTGTTTATAATACATAATTTTATTTCTTTTAATAATTCAACCGTTTTCACAGTCTTATTTATTTTCATTATGTTAAATTGATGAATATCTTTTATCAAACACATGGCATTATTGTGTGTCTAGATTATTTACACACCAGATGTGCGAAGTAATGAGTCACATTTACAACAAAAGATTAAATAAGATGTGTCAAACAAAGAGTCTGCAGTGTGATTATGAAAACGGTTGAATTAAAACCTTTTTAATGTTTTGTTTTTCTTTTTTTTTTTCAGCCTTTTCCAGTGACTGGAAAATGGTTGAATAAAAACTTTATTGTTTTGTTTTTCGTTTTTGTTTTTTTTTCAGCCTTTTCCAGTGCATGGCACGCCGTTTGCGGACGATAGGTGAATTTCTAGTTCAAGTGTATGACGTATCTTGACTAGATTTTCACTTATCCTCTGCGGGGGCAGACACATGCTTTCAATGTTTGAGTGTTGCTGACACGCGTGATTTTTTTCTACTAATATTATTTTTTTGTGTTGCATGTTTTTTTTGTTATGTAATGCGCAAAGCATAATACAAAGGACGTAGTTTATGTGCTAATTCATTTAATAAACAATGACTCATTCACGTAATAAACCCATTTCGCACGTTCAATACTTTTCTAGTTGAAAAGATCGTTCTGTATTGTGGTTCACTTTTTACTACCTGATACGACAAATATATCGAGATACTATTGAAATCGATTATTGTTAATTGTCTGTTCCGATTCGATAAATAAACGTACCGCCATATCACGCGTGATACACACCGTGGCTTTTCAAATGCAGTATTTTTATCAGATATCTAGATCGTGTCTCGTAATATTCTTCGTACGATAAACACTAGATTGTACGATAGATACAGATCGCACGTGAATTCCCAGTGAATAGTTGAAATAATGTAACGATATTGAAGATAAGTGTTTTTGATAAGTAAACAGACATTACGGTTTTTGGTTGCATAGACGACAGTGTCGCACCATCTAGGAGATATGAAAGAAAAACTGATCATATTTAATGCCTTTTGTAAAGAAATAAAGAGTAACCAGTAGATCTACGTGTGTGTTTTTGTTCTTGAACACAGACGTAATAATTTAGACCAAATAATTTTTTTTTCTTTCTTTCTTTCTAAATCTAGCCCCCCACTGGTGAAATTGTGAACACAAGCTAAAAAATAACAATATAAATTAAAGAAGCAACATTGCAGCATTGTTAAATACGACAGTAAATTAGCGTGTAATTTAATTTTATTAATAATATTATAAAAGAATTTGGCACTTGTTTTGTCGTGTTCAAACTACTATAACGATTTATTCTTCCAATCAATACTTTGTTTAATAGGCTACAGTATTTTGCCAAAAGTAATCTTGTGTCGAAAACAAAAGGACGTAGACAGGTCGTGGGCTCAATGGCCGACGGCTTTTTGACTCGAATAGATATTTGGGATTTCTAAGAATTGTTTTTTGATCTCTAGAGGTCATGCTTGTTTATCAAATGGGGAAAATGCAAACATAATAGTATTAGAGCTGGTATTGACAACGTCTTGTTGTTTTCAATTTCCCTTATTTAGTCAAACACATTAGACTGACATCTTAGTTGTAAATAGCACTTATTACAAACAAAAGATGCTACAGATGCAAGACGTGCCGTCTTTTGTATAGACGAAAGTACAGTCATCATACTACCCATTTTCGTTGCAAATTCTATTCTAATACTATTAAGCTGCTACATTATAAGAAAAGCCTTAATAGTATTTAGTAGCTTTATATGCTGTGGTCTCGGGACATAGTGCGAGTTTACATCAAACGTATTCAATATCGAGTGCGTAAAAAATGATATAATGTATGACGGATTGTACAGCGACCCTAGCGGATACTTTCAAGAACTAAAATCTTCATAGGTTTTTTGACGCACTCGATATCGAATACGTTTGATCTAAACTCACACTACGCCCTCTGTACAATGGGAATGTGTGATACGATTAAATTATATTGACTCTAGTATCTAGGATGATAAATAAAGGTTATGCAACTCAAATGTTATTCACACACAGATGTTCAGTCGACTTAATTATGCAATCATTAATCAAACATGTTTAACCGCAATCATGTGTCGTGAGTACAGTCAACGTCACATAGTTTGTGACACCGCGAAGTGGCCAATAAGTTGATAAAACAATCTTATTCCAATTGTAACATTTAAGAAAGAGAATGTCTCNAAAACAAAGGGAGGTATACTTAACACAATACATATTTTTATTTATTAATTTCTGACATTAAGTTTCTATGGTATGGGAGCTTCATTTTCAGACCACTGTGCGCCAGTACGGCTAGCACGAAAATCTTTCGAGTTCGAATCGTTTGCGTACTCGAATCGCCATCAAAGATTTAGTACGGAAACTACAACAGCGCCCTTGTGAATAACGTGTCCTAAAGTGAAATTAGTATTAGAAATGGTTGTAGGTACGAAACTTATTTTGAGAATCAAAATTGTCACGTTGTCGTTTAATTTGAAGGTTGAGTATTTAATTTTTTCGAATACGCAAACGATTCGAAAACGAAAGTTGTTCATGCTAGAGGTACTGACTTCAATTATAACGAATTATTTGATCTTTAAAACGCAACTCTAACTTATACGGTTTTAATAATCCACCGTGTGTTACGTGTCACCAGCTTACACATACGTATCGGTTCGTAGTTCGAAAACGGTTCGAAATAAAGCTTTGAAAGAATTGAAGTCGGGTTTTTTTATTCGACTTTAATTTATGAGATATAAAACATTGATGTAGCTTAAATATTTACGAAGATACAGATGTGTAAGCTGGAGACACGGTACTCCAGCTCGCACATAGTTTTTTGATCGTGGTTTTAACAGTATTTGAGCTAAAGTCTTGAAAAGTGGAAAGCCTACTATTTGGATTCGACTGTAATTTTTGAGGTATAATACATTATCGTAGCATAAATATTTACGAAGATACAGATGTGTCAGCTGGAGACACGTGTCCTCAGCTTACACATAGAAAACAACTCATAGTTATGAAGTTCTAATGGCTCTAATTGAATGACTGAGAGGTTTGATGACTCTAATTAGGCTTTTATTGATGGTATACTTGGAATTGCTCTAGGGCCAATGAGGAAGTTGGAGACATTCTCTTCATTTAAGATCAGGTGCGATTGCTGTCAAATACCGGCCTTGTTCTTGCAAAAAACAGACTGGCAACTTTGGATGTCACGAATTTTTTAATGCTGACTGTACAACCATATCGTCATTGTAATTAGATTGGAATGTAGTTAGTAATTTACAACTGTTACATTTAGCCCTAAACTTTGTACACTGTGCTAACTTTGTAACCAGTTTTGAGACAAATCAATATGTACTTCATATCTGTCTAATAGTCCAGAGCAGTTGACGGGGATTGAAATATTCTTGAATCGGTAGTTCATCACCTTTAAGTTAGTAGCTAAAAAGTCTATGATATCTGGAGGGCTAGCTAAAAAAGTCTATGATATCTGGAGGGCTACTCCGAAACGCTGTTTACGTAGTTTCGGGTCTATCTGTCACCGTCGCTCATGCTGGCATCTCGCTTGCGTGAGAGGGATGGCAACATTCGAAATTTCGGATAACGTTTTTCGGAGTAGCCCCGCTGGTGTAAATGATGACACGAGGCGAAAAATTCTGGGATTTGATTTATATTTTATACTAATCGTACGTTTTAAATGTTTCCAGATTGCATTCGGGTTGGCGGTGGGCGAAGAGGCGTTTCAGTTCGAGCACCGCGATTTGCACTGGGGCAACGTGTTGATAGCGCCCACAGAGCAGAAGGTGAGCCTTATGATAACAACAATTAGGTCGAGTTTTGTTTGGTATACATAATCACAAATGTTTACCTGAAAAGTTTAGTAATCGTAAACTGAGCATAGTTTTTGTTTAGTAAGTAGCTGAAAGGATGGTGATGATCAGGGCTCAAGGTTTCATCCAGTAATGTTCTTTCCCCCAAACAACCATACTTCTCTTGGATGGTGTAAAAGACCACCAAGGAAAAAATTGCGAACATGAGGTCTTTCCCGGGACTTTCTATTTACACAATAGAAGGCCTGTCCAAATTGAACTCTTCTTTGCTATTTTGAGAAGTTTCAGCCCTAACGAGCCTTCAGTTCTATGGTATATGCTCCGCCTACTGCCACATAAGTTTGACAGTGGGCGGGGCCTAATGATGATAAGGATAAGGCCCAAAAGATAAGGAGACATGTAAAGTGCCCCATAAGGGCTACCTTTTTCTTTTTTTATTATTTTCTATTGACGTTCATAAGTGCCACTTGTGGTCTAAACTGAATAAATATTTTTTTGATTTTTGATTTTGATTTTGATTTTGATGAAGACGTTGATTTGAACCCTTTATATTATCGTACTAGTGGCCCGCCCCGGCTTCGCACGGTTGTAATGGAAATTCCCGGCTATTGTCGTCTATAATATACATGTTTTATACTTATAAACTTTCTTTTGAGTCACTCGTATCTATTTAAAAAAAACGCATCAAAATACGTTGCGTAGTTCTAAAGATCTGAGCATACATAGGGACAGAGCGGAAAGCGACTTTGTTTTATACTGTTTAGTCATGTGGAATTAATGTCGTCGGTGTACCTTTTTCAATCATTAAGGCCGGGTTCCCACTATGCCGGACCGGCATTTCTGCCGGAAACCGGACACCGGACAAGGGTGTTCACATTACACCGGATCCGAAATCCGAGCCGAATGAAGTGCGGGGAGCACGCGCGGGGCGGGGCGGGGAGCACGGGCGCGGCGGGGTGGGCCGCAACTCGTTCACATTACTCCGGTCCGGTGATTTTGCCGGCATTTTGTAGTGACAAAACGCTCGGTAAAAATGCCGGGCTCGGCGAAAAAGCCGGATCCGGGATAATGTGAACAGCTTCATACAATTTGTACCGCCGCTAGGCCTTCCGGCGATTTTACCGGACCGGGAGATCTGCCGGTCCGGCATAGTGGGAACCCGGCCTAAATGATCCTTTCTTCCCCAGTTCGCAACGTTCGTCCTGCGCGGTCGCGCGCACCGCGTGGCGCGCTGCGGCGTGGCGGGCACCATCATCGACTACTCGCTGTCGCGGCTGTCGCTCCCGCTGGCGCGCGAGTGCGCGGCGCTGTACAACGACCTCGGCGGCGACGACTCGCTGTTCGAGGCCGTCGGCGACTACCAGTTCGCGGTGTACCGGCTCATGAGAGACAAGCTGCGGTATGTAATGTAATGTGTAGACCTGTCGGGCTAGGATGCGCGCCATGATAAATATTGTCGACAATTTTAGTTGTAATTAAAATCCTGCAAAATCGATAAAACACTTCGATAAAAGTTTATCGTGGCGCGTATCTTAGGCCTACTGATAATGTTGTGTAATACCGGGATTACCGAGATTTTCAAAAGAATATCACGTGAGCAAGCTGAACTGGCAATGGGCAGAACACATAGTTCGTAGAACTGACGGCTGATGGGGCAGCAAGGTTCTGGAGTGAAGGCCTCGTAGCGGAAAGCGCAGCAAGCATGGGACGTATTCACAATATGAGCATGTCTGGAAGCGTACACATTACACCGATTTGGTATCGGCCGATTCTTCATACAATTTTGAAATCTACCAAACTATCGGCCGATTTATAGTCTTTAGTCTCAGGGAGTCTAAATGATAGGATATCATGCACCATATAGTGACAAATTATGTAGATTATACAACTTTATATTTACATACGTTTTGCCAAGAGCCAAAATTAGAAAAAAAATAACCTACTTCCTTTTACCAGGTTGTAATTAACCGCTACATACAAGTATATCAGCGGAAGTCACCTTTACTTTCAATATGGCCATTCACAAATACAGACGACCCACATTGGCGAGACAATTCTTATCAGCGGTAGACAAATTAACGCAAGATAGCAACTAGCTAACTAGCAACACCTTCCTATTCACAGTTATGTATTTGGTCTAATATTATAACTACCTACTTGAACATGATATAAAAAGCGACTGTCTTAGGTTGGTTACAAAAAGTTCTGTGACCAATAAATGATGTTCTTGTCTATTAATATTATTTTCAATGCTTTTATTTCCATAGATTAATGATTTCTTTTTCGAGATTTCTCTATTGGTGTAACCATGCCAAAAGGTCATTATTTCCTATCGTAAAAGATAAATTAGTTAAAAATATGACCTGAATTTTGTTTACTAAAAACGATTTGTTGCTATGGACATTATTTTTATTATAGAAAATACATAAGGTTATCTTGTATAGTGACTAATTATAGACTAATTCAGCAGTGGACCTTTTTGTTCTCCAGAAACTTTGTATAGACGACATCCAGTTTACCTTTTAAATATCGCGCAAGGCAACTAAATTTTTTTGTTGTGCTCCTTCAACTGACGTCTTTATTTTTGTCAACAGGAATGATTGGAAGAATTTCGAGCCGTACACAAACATCCTGTGGCTGCATTACACTGTGGATAAAATGATCACTGCTCTCCGCTACAAGAGGACCAGTACCAAGATACACAAGCACTACATCGCCAAGCTCAAGGGAATCAAGAACAGAATCCTGGACTACGGCAGCGCTGCCCAATTCGTCCTCACTGACAACGAATTTTAAAAACGAACAAATTATGATAATACATTTTACTCATCAAAAATAATCACATATTTTCACTAGAATATTTTCAAAATGATAGATAGTAGCACTGTTTGCTGTTGTTATAAACATTTGACGATGAATTGCATAAATTATAATGTAAATAGAGATGTTTGCTTCGGTAAATTTGTTGAAGTTTTAGACGCTAAAAGAATTATTTACAATATTGTTGTCCCATTAGAACAAAATCAGCTTAAAGGTGCCTTCTTAGACAAGGTAGTGCCTTTGTTCAGGTTACTAATAAATTCATATTATAATGTGTTCAAAACTCTCGTTTTATTTCACCCTGGATGAATAGATGAAACCTCATCAAGCTAAACACTGGCATTTTATGTCCTTGGAATGATAAAAGTATTTTCAAATCAAAATAATTATAGCTTGATGAGCTATCACCTGTTCCTGCCTAAGATTTCCAATAGTACCTAAGAAATGCAAAAACAGTAGGTAGATATTACGCTAATCACCAGAGACCGGCTACTAAGAACTAGTCCAAAAAAAATAATAAATAGCCTAAGAAAAGCTAGGGCGTGTGCATTACAGACCAAGAAGGGTCGTATGATACAGGAGGATAGTGAAACAGATGACAGATAAGGTGGTTTCATCAAAATCAGTTTAGCCGCACAATGTTCTATTCTAAGAACCGACTCAACTAATAACTATTACATTAGTTATCGAGTAGTAGGGGTTATTACTGGCTATACTTTCGAAGGTTAAAAGGTTTTAAAGTTAAACAAGGCTTATTCGTGTCCTTGGGTTTATTTTGCTGCACGGCTAAAATTAGGTGAATATTTCGTGCAAGGCCAATAACGTCAATACCTACCAAAGTTACGACCCCGCAATCCGCAAGCATACAAATCCTTTAGCTATAAACCAGAATAATTTCAACCTTTCGACCTCGTTAAGCTATTCGTAATAAATCGGGCAATAATATTGGAATTTGGCAATAGTTTGGAATAATAAAGCCCACGTAGATATCACGGTAAGTACGAGAATCGAATCCGCTATCGGTTTGTTACAAATATGTATGGCTTCAGGATTAATTTTATTAACAGTAACTAAGGTCAAGAAAACTCGGTGTTTCATATTGGTCCATTTATTCATTGTGTTCGCTTGCGAGTAGTTCGGTCTGAGTAGTAATCCAGTATTCGTAAGCACATAATTTAATGAGAGCCAGTATTAAAACATTTATTTGCTGTACTGAATCATCAAGTCTTAGTATTGTTCGTTAGGTAGGTAATTAATCAATCACCCTGTATTTAGAAATTAATGAAATTATTTCTGAACGATAAATCGAATCAAGTGGTAGGGTAGTTGGTTTGTTTCTGAACGTAACCAGCTGTCAAGTTGTCAATCGTTATCAGCAGTTGTTCGTGTATTTCTCGTAAATCCCTTTCTTGTACAAAACTAAAAGAAAAATGTAGAAATAGTGCGTAATAGCATTAAACTTACTTAAAAAAACAGGAGGGTCTGTGCTAAAGTTTTACATTGTTGTCTGTTTTAAAATTTATATGCCGTGCGTCAAGTTTGCGGGAGTGTTTATCCTTTCAATTATTCACGTTTTGGAAAAGCGTTTTTCATGGAGTTTTCTAGTTAACAAGTGTGTTCGTTAAAGGACAAAGTAGTTGAGCGTGAAAATGGAAGGGAGCAACGATTCGTTGTCTGGTTTGTATTGGTTTTTTGTTGGTATTTTGTGGTAAATATTGACGTGCGATCTGACGGATGTTTGAGATGTTTTGATCGGTTTCAGTTTTGTCTCCGCCAATGGGGGGTTCGGCGGCGGTTCTGCTAACTCCTGGAAGGACGAGGAACATCGCTCAGGACATGGAAGCCCTAAGGTTGTCGCGGCAGGACAATCCTTACTTGCAGGTGGGATTTTGCTATAGTTTTCATACTTACGTAAGTGCGCAGTGATTATGCGGTGAGGCATTCGAGGCAGCAACATAAACCACGCCAGAAACGAAAGCAATTCTTATGATAATTACAGACTGGTGCTGTTTTTTATGAGACACTTGACCAGTTTATTACAATGCAACTGGTTCTAACTGGAACTAATACCCATTGCCAGCTACCAATTTAATATCACCTAATGTGTTTATTTATTCAAAAATGTTACTAAACTAAGCAAATAACTTAAACTCTTTATAACACTGCTTATGATTTTCCTACTTCTTTCAGCAAGTAATGGCAAGTCGAGAAAGTTTGATTGAAAGCCATGCAAATGATTGTGAGTCTGACGATACCATATTGATGTCACAGGTGAGAATATTACCTCCTTACTTAGTTTTAAGACTTATCTAAAATACCCTTATTACACAATCCTTAAAAAACATTCAAATATTTGTACAAACATTGCAGGAATTTGGAAGTACAGCATTAGATTTTGTAGAAGATGATCCGTTGACTCTAAAAGAGGTTCACGAACATATGATCCGGTCCCCACCACCGATCAGCTGTTGGCCACACGGTACAGTTTTTTATATTTAACTTTTTTTCTTTATATTGTACTACATTTTCTACTGTGCTAACTTTTCAAAATTAACTCAGTGCAGTCAACAGCACATCAGTTAATGACCTTTATGTGGTAATTTGTTGCATAATAGCATTTATTACAACTCCATAAAGATGTCACAGTGTATGGTTTGATATACTGCTGTCTGTAAATAAAATCCCCCTAACATTTATAGAATTTTATTATGTAATAGAATAGTTTCTACTTAAATTTGGAAATATCTTATGCAAATAAGCTCACCTAAGATCTGGGGTCATAAAATTAAAGAGGTCAGTGTCTGATTACTTCATATCAGTGGCACAGTAATGGTTCTGACTGATAACATAAATTGCCTTATCTTTAATCGTTTTTTTGATATGCTACTTTGACCCTTAAACTGCGAGTTAAAATTGTTTTGGATTTACTTAATTTCAGTAATTAATATGGATAAAGATTTCCACCTTATCTAAAATTGCATAAGGCACAACTTGTCTCAAGAAAAAGATATTCTTGATTGATGAAGACTATTACCACTCCAGTCTCTTAGCTATAACTGCATTAACTGCACTGACCAATCCAATTACAACTGTTTTCTTGATAAGTAATTTAATTTTCTTTTCTATAGTTCATTAGCCACGCAAAAGACCCCTGAAAATCGTGATATGGTCACGAAATGTACAGTAGCTAAGAAACCAATGTAGTATATTTCTTATTCACATAGGTTTTCTTTTAAAAATTGCCTCAAACCTAGCCTAACATTCAGCGTACTAACCGTTTTTCCCACTTGCATCGCAGACACGATGTCGTACCGGGCGTCCAGTGCCTTTGACTTCGGAGCCGACAGCCCCGTGTCGTATAGCGCTTACTCAGTCAATTCTCAGGAGAAGGTTACTAACATTCCGACATATTTATGTGCTGTCCTATGTGTTTTTGTTACACTGTTATCGCTTGCTACACTCGTTAGCTTTGGTTGTTGAAGCTTGTGTACGTATTGCAGAATGTAAAATTAATGCAGTGTTCAAAATACACGGACCGCTCTCTCTTGCAGTCAAGAGTCAACAGCTTGAAGTTGCCAGTGATAACTGCTCGAGCAGTTGGTATTAACTGCTCAATAAATCACAAGCGCGCGCCGTGGAATGAAGAAAGTGGGCGGAGGTAACTGCGCGAGAGCTGTCGACAGCTCGAGCAGTCAGTGTATGGCTGGCGACTGCTTGACCGCACGATGAAAATTCACCGTGCTGTCGACCGCCCGAATCAGTTGCAACTGCTCGAGCGGTTCGTGTATGTGCGTCCATAGAACTCTGCAGTTCACTGTGCAGTCGCAGCTTGAAGCTGTCGACTGCTTCAAGCGGTCCGTGTATTGCCAGCCTAAGGTTTCACATTAGGGCGTGAGAAGCGCGACAGCGGCGTTTTTATAATGTGAAGGCATGCATCCGCTGTCACATAGTATGAAATTATCGGTAGCGCGTCTGTCGCGCGTTAGTCGCACTGCTAAAGTCGCCTAAATGTGAAACCGCTCTAAGGTCATAATAGACTTATCAACTCGGAAAGGGATCAACACCGTATCGCCTTTCGCGAGCTGTCATCGCCTATCGCGCTCTGTCAACCGAGAGGCGAGGTGTTTACGATACGGCGCGGATAAGTGCATTGCAGTATGGAGTTTTATACAAAGAATACTGACTGCCTCGAGTTGATAATCCTTTACCGGGTTGATAAGCAGCCTTTAAACAAAATCTGCAATATGTATCCAAGCATTTTAATTACTACAATTTTAATTGCACCATTGCACTTAGTTTTATTGAATTTCTTCTTTTGTAAATAATTTAAGTTTATTTAGTTAAAGGTTCTGAAATATGACTTCGCAAATAAACTGTTTGTTATGATTTTATCGTTTTGCTGGTTGTAGTTAGCTTTGTATTATTCTGACAGGCACATCTATACATGTTATAATTCGATAAGTAAGAATACAAGTGCATAATAATATTTTTGGTATTTGGTAAAAGATACATTTTGCAATTTTAACGAGACGAGGGAGACATAATTATTTTGATGTCAGAGATAGGGCGCCTTCAAATTAGGGATGTGAGGAAGCGCTGCAGTGGCGCTACTGTGGCGTCCCTAATTTGAAGGCGTCTACACTGGTTAAGGTCTGCTGGTCTTAAGATCTCTGGAAGTCTACAAGAATAGTGTCATTGTTAGCAAGTGCACATTTAAAAAAAGATTTGGGGAATTCTAAAGTTATATTCCACTTTGATCACTTGGATTTGATCACTCGGGTGATCAAAGTGGACTCCAGTAGGCCTAAGATGCGCGCCGCGATAAGCGGTTATCACGCAATTTTATCGATTTTCCCCATACATTTTGACGTCGATAAAAGTTATCACCAATCGCTTGGAGTCCACTTTGATCACCTGGATGATCCAATCCATTCTTAACTGGATTCAAAATCAACTCCAGGAGTTGCTCGGAGGTCGTTCACCCCGTCGCGGCGCGCGCGCCGACGAGTCGCGCAACAACAACACGCCGTCCCGCCCGCGCTCCTCGCGCTCCGCCTCCCCCCGCTCGCACGAGCTGTCGCTGTGCACGCGCCCGCTGTCGCTGCCCGGTGAGTGAGAAAGAAAGAAAGAAGATAGAAAGAGATGAAGAAAAAAAAAATTTATTTTGGCAAGAAAAGAGTACGCACCCTCTGTCGCTGCCCGGTGAGTGAGCACGACACACTATAAAGCCCGGTCTGTGAGCACGCAGAATTTCGTCCAATGACCCCAAGCTACCCATCCTTATCGCTCGCGCGTAATTATACTGCTGTCGCGACTGTGCGACGGGCGCCCGCAGTGAGTGTGCGAGCGCGACAGCAACATATTTACGTGATCGGAGGTCGTTCACCCCGGCGCGCGCAACAACAACACGCCGTCCCGCCCGCGCTCCTCGCGCTCCGCCTCCCCCCGCTCGCACGAGCTGTCGCTGTGCGCGCGCCCGCTGTCGCTGCCCGGTGAGTGAGTACGACACACTACACACTAAAGCCCGGTCCTTATCGCTCGCACGTAATGAGGGCTATCGTTTTTATACTTAACAGTTGGCACCCCTGGCGATTGACAGGACCTTACTCTACAGTGGCGCCATCTTGATGAGCGCAAATGCGATAGTCCTCCTACCACTTTAGCGCTCACAAGTTGGCGCCACTGTCTTCGCTACTAGCAAGTGACAGGACCTTACTCTACAGTGGCGCTAACTGGTGAGCGCTAAAACGATAGCCCTCATTTGTTGCTGTCGCGCTCGCACACTCACTGCGGCCGCCCGTCGCACAATCGCGACAGCAATATAATTACGCGCGAGCGATAAGGATGGGTAGCTTAGGGTCATTGGACAAAATTCTACGTGCCCGGCGAACGGACTATACGCGTTGTTAGTTAGTTTTGTCATACAACTGAGCAACAACAACACGGCGCCCCGCCCGCGCTCCTCGCGCTCCGCCTCCCCCCGCTCACACGAGCTGTCGCTGTGCGCGCGCCCGCTGTCGCTGCCCGGTGAGTGAGCACGACACACTATGTTCGCGAATGGCGCATTCTACTGTTTTCACCCCTCGCCGGACGTACGCGCATCACTATCACTAATGCCTCCAAACGGGAAGTGCAGGACGGCACTAGCGCGTCGCCGGCCATCTTCAAACCAACACTCGAGCGCGTAGCTCACACTTTCCACTTTTGCTCTTTTTACAATGTAAAACCTTCAACCTATTAAGAAGATTATACTAATCCTTATATGTAAAAGGACTTTCATTAAAATCCTTAACTCACTATGCGTTGTTGTCACAAAACTAATAGGTTTTCGGAAATCCGGGACAATATGGTCTAATTACTGGACACGGGTCAAGACGCAAAATTCCGAGATAATCCAAAGACAAACTTTACTCTCTGCTCGCACGAGCTGTCGCTGTGCACGCGCCCGCTGTCGCTGCCCGGTGAGTGAGTACGACACACTACATACTACACACTACACACTACACACGACACACGACACACTACACACTACATACTACACACTACACACTACACACTACACACTACATAATACACACTACACACTACATTTTACACACTACACACTAAAGCCCGGTCGCCGAGTACGCAGAATTTCGTCCATTGACCCGAAGCTACCCATTGACCCCAAGCTACCCATCCTTATCGCTCGCGCGTAATTATATTGCTGTCGCGACTGTGCGACGGGCGCCCGCAGTGAGTGTGCGAGCGCGACAGCAACATAATTACGCGCGAGCGATAAGGGGTAGCTTGGGGTCATTAGACAAAATTCTACGTGCTCACAGACCAGACTATACACACTACGCGTTGTTAGTTAGTTTTGTCACAAAAGTAATAGGTTTTCGGAAATCCGGGACAATATGGTCTAATTACTGGACACGGGTCAAGACGCAAAATTCCGAGACAATCCAAAGACAAACTCTACTCCCCGCTCACACGAGCTGTCGCTGTGTGCGCGCCCGCTGTCGCTGCCCGGTGAGTGAGCACGACACACTATAAAGCCCGGTCTGTGAGCACGTAGAATTTCGTTCCAATGACCCCAAGCTACCCATCCTTATCGCTCGCGCGTAATTATACTGCTGTCGCGAATGTGCGACGGGCGCCCGCAGTGAGTGTGCGAGCGCGACAGCAACATAATGAAATGAACGAAATTCTACGTGCCCGGCGACCGGACTATACGCGTTGTTAGTTAGTTTTGTCACAAAACTAATAGGTTTTCGGAAATCCGGGACAATATGGTCTAATTACTGGACACGTATGAAGTGATGTACTTCACGTTCGAGGAGATCCGTAAACGAACTAAACTCGCTGACATAGCCCGACGGAATAGCAAGCTGAAGTGGCAGTGGGCAGGTCACATAGTACGCAGAACTGACGGCCGATGGGGCAGCAAGGTTCTGGAATGGAGGCCGCGTACCGGAAAACGCAGCGTGGGACATCCACCCACAAGGTGGACCGACGACCTGATAAAGGTAGCAGGAAGGCGCTGGATGCAGGCCGCTACCAACCGTGCGATGTGGAAGTAATTGGGGGAGGCCTATGTTCAGCAGTGGACGTCCTGTGGCTGAAATGATGATGATGATGACTGGACAAGATGCAAAATTTCGGGACAATCCCGTATTTCCCGGCCATCTGGCAACCCTACCCCGCTCGCACGAGTTGTCGCTGTGTACGCGCCCGCTGTCGTTGCCCGGTGAGTGAGCGAGAGAGAGAGAGAGATTTAAGGTTCATCATCATCGTTGCAGCCACAAGGTGTCCACTGCTGAACATAGGCGTCTACCAATACCAATGATTCATAGCCATAATAGCCGAACGGTGAAGGGTCGCCCGGTTGGTAGCGGCCTGCATCCAGCGCCTTCCTGTCACCTTTGAGGCCATGAGCTGAGCTATGAGGTTAGGGCTATAACGATTTGATAAATTAACTGGTATCCGAGCACACTACAGCTCACAAAAAGACGCGCCACAACAACACGCGTATTCCGAAGAAGAATAGCAATTAAAGAATCGAAGAAATCCAATGAATAATCCTCACCCCAATGTCTGCTTCCTATTGACTGAGAGCACTGGTATGAAAGATGCAAATATAGCCGTTTCACATTAAGAAAATGTCTTTTTATGCATTCAAGTTTTAGTGACAATATTTTCAAGATTTTTATAATCCATGACCACGTTATGGTCGTGGGCTAAATGGGCTAAATTACTTCAGAATTAATTTCAACATCAAACTCATCTCACTATTCCACAATTCCAGGTGAGAGCCACCTCCGAAACGCATTAAGCAGCAAAAAGCAAAGCGGTCAGCAGACCTTCTCGCTTCTCCAACACCCGCGCCCGCTACGGAGGCCTCACTCCAACCGGAGAGACGAGGACAGCGTGCAACTTGTCCCGGACTGCGACAAGTAGGAACAGGACGAACAAGTAAGGACTTGTTTTATATCCTGCTGGATATCCTGGGGAACACATCCTCGTGACGTTTGATCATAAACCTGGTTTGTTGCCACCAAATTTTGAAGTTTATTGAGGCAACAACAAGGTTCAAAACCAATGGAAAATATCTGTATCTATACCAGTTGGGTAAGTCCAATATGCTCAGTATGGGATTGACGTTAAGTCACGTGGTCAAATCATGCGCCATCTGTAGATACAAAAATGCTAACCAAAATACTACTTTATGTTCCCACAAAAACTGCAGTATCTGCCGTAAATTACTAAGCAAAATGCACCAGTAAAAACTAGAAGTCAGGGTCAGTGATTCCTAAAGGTTTAGAATTGGAAAAAAGTACTTAAAAAATTATAAAAGTCATAATTTCGGAACCCAGAAAGGCTGAAGTTTTTCTGTAAGATAAAATTGTGATTCGGAGACTGGTTTTGCCCATTTCCACCTTAAAATAAGATATTGATCGAAGTGCAATTTTTTCAACTCCCATTTGGAGTGTTCTTGAAAATGGAGATTTGACTGGGAGTCCTTCAATATTAACACGTTCGTTGACTTTCTTGTGTCATTTGAGTAGACAGTCGTATAAATACAACATCTTATTAACTTGTCTACTGCCACGCTGTCTTTGAACGTGTTAAAAATCCATAAATATACGCGGGGTTGGATCTGACAGGGGATGTGTAGAGACTGGTACAGAATAATCACTAAGGAAGTTTAGGAAAGTCGGCCATTTTGAGACGAAATGCCAAATGTTTGGATTCGTATGGTGTTCGTTAGGTGTATGGGTGTCATGGATTTATTGTTGGATGTAGAATGTGAATGTATGTACATGGTGTTATGGTATTACTAGTCTAGGATATTTGGTGGTTGGTGTTTGCAGAACACGGTAAAACTTTAAATGGACTACACACTTTTTGTTTTAAGCCAGGTCTCCAGAGCGTGTTTTACTCTACACAATCAACAAAAGCATCTCAACATTCAACATTTTTGTAGGCAATTTTGTTGAATGTTGACATGTTTTTGTTGATTGTTTAGGGCAAAACATGCGCTGGAGAACCGGCTTTATGTTTAGCTCATGTATAAGAAAATGTTTTAAATGGATTTTGTGTAAAAGTGTGTAGTTCAATATTGAACATGGAACAAGTCTTAGATGAAAAGAATAATATTTTCGCACTCTGAAATATAAGATAAGAATAAGTGTGTATTCTCGGTATCGATTCGTGTCGGAATATGGACTGTTTGCCACAATGATGCGACTGGAAAGTCTATACATAAATAATAAGTATAAAGTCCAAAAACGTGTAATGTATGTTTGTAGCCAATGTATTCTGATAACTGCTGAGCGGATTATTATTCTGTGTACACTATTTAATAGCTTACTATCTTCAATATCTCTCAGGTGCATATTATTTCAATTGATCTAATATTAAGAACTAAAATAGCTTGCCCGTCTTCTGGATGCAGTCGCGTATTATTGTGAGGTATTGGTTGATTGGAGTCATGAATATAGACGCCCTATTCTGAAAATGTTACCTACACGCGGGTATAGTCTGTAATATAAAAACCTGTCCATTCCCCTATTCTATGAAGTTCCTAAATCATATCCTACCATAAATAATGTACAGTTAACAGCGCATCGGACTGCAATTTTGGTGCAATATGGCACATTTTACAAATAAATAAAATTGTTTAACATGATGTGCTGCCGTCAGTACTCACACTATTTTTGACATGTTATTATTGATATTCTTCAATAAAATTGCCATTTCTATACCGTCATTTAGTTAGTGAACATTATACATATTATTATAGCTTGAGTAGTGAATAGATAAAGCAGTTATGATGTTTATAAAAAGTTATACTTAGATATTTACGTTTAGAATGGAGCGGCCGTCTGTCTCTTTCTAAAGGTAGATAGAGTTTTGTGAATAATTACCTAATTAGTCGCTTCCTTGTGGCAAATTGTCCAACTACCCGTCAAAATCACGGTTATAACACCATATAAACTCCTACGAATGCTCACAGTAGTATAATTATTGCAATTAAAAAAAACAGTTTAGGATAATTAGTACCACAGATAGTAGTTTTTAGACTAGATATATTGTTATGATTGGATAAGCTTTATTAGAGCATCATGTTTAGTGTTACCAGAGCTGAAATAGGCTATAATGTTTTGTTAGTCGTTAAATGCTGCCAAGGTTATGCAACTACCCCCGGTTTCTGAGCTGGCAGATAAAAAATGGCTACTTGACATCTGTCAATTCTGTCAGTTGTGAGCTGTTTTTTATTGTTCGACTGAAAAGCTGGGTGTTAATTTCACACTGAACTGGACATGTTACAAGTCAATGTTACATAACAAGTCTTAGGTCCATATTATGAAACTACACTCAAATATGTATTTACATGATTTGATAATAGAGTGGTTGGTCCAAATATTAAAATTAAAACACCAGTTTGAATCTAGTATGAACTTCTTGGTAGTGCAAGCACCATAGAAGTGTCTTTCAGACATATTTTTGTCATGAATGAATTACTATAGTCTATCCAAAATAGCTTGATTAGAATGACAGCTGTCAAACGAATGTGACTGTGTATGTTTCGTCCGGTTCACATAGATGTATCGATAAGTTTTCGAAAAAATATATAAAAAATGCACCCAATTTTTCTTCATATCTTTAGTCATAAAAATGACAATTATAATTTAAATTTAAAGACAGTATAATTTAAAATTCATGTCAAGGGTGTACAACCTAAGTCGTAGTCATTATCGGTAGTATTTGTCGGCCGTTTGGTGTAGTGGTTCAGAACGGACTACTATGCCGAGAGGTCCCGGGTTCGATTCCCGGGTTCGATTCCCGGCCGGGCAGAAATTGAAATGATGAATTTTAATTTCTGTGACGGGTCTGGGTGTGACTATGTATAATATTTATGTATTTAAAAAAAAGTATATAAGTAGTATATCCGTTAAGCTAGCACCCATAACACAAGCATTAAAGTTGCTTACTTTGGGGCTAGCTGGCGCTGTGTGAAATTGTCCAAAGATTTATTTATTTATTTATATAATAAATTAAATTAAAAAAATATCATCAGTGTTCTTCAGTGGTTTTTTCCTCTCGCTAGAGGGCGGTGGGCATCTCTTCTAGAGCAACGGTGCTATGAATACCCAAAAAATAACCGGTGATTAATTTCCGATGTTTGATTTATTTATTTATTTATTTTATTTGGTGCACAAAACAGGGATACAACCATAACATACAAAGCTTTTAAAGCAGGCTATACAGTAAAACTTGTTGCAGCTCCAATAAAAAGTGCACACAACATACAATGCTATTCGAGTTAACAATAATTATACATAATACATAAATTATAAAAATAATTATTTAATGTTAATTAATAATGGAAACAAGTTATTAATAAATATAATGAAATTTAAATCAATAATTCTCTAAGAAATAAAGATGAGAGAGGAATTATTTAAGTAACAATTCATTAACAGCTTTTTTGAATTTGTTTAGGGTAAGGCTGTAGATGTCAGGCACCTCCTCTATATCGGGTGTGAGCTTGTTAAAGTCTCGGCAGATTCTATGCATGGCGCTGTGAGAGGACGCGTTACTGATTATTTAAGAATGAAATGTTTTTTTGGTTTTTAATAGTGAACATTTAGAAAAACGTATAACTTGACAATATGTTAAATAAATAGTTAGAAAAAAATTAGTTAAATATGTTAAAAAATTAGTTTTAATTTAATATGACATTTGTCGATATGTCCCATCACTAACATTTTTGTAACTCGAGATAACCTTGTAGAGACGTCGTTAATACTCTACCTTGATTTTTATAATTTCGAATTACTACTTTTACTATTGGAGTAATTTAACGCTGCATTTACACGAAATTAACATTTTTATTGGAAGCACTGTCGTCGAAAATATTGTTTGAAGGTCAGACGTGAATTATTTCTTGTCCGCCAATATTTAGCTCTCATTGATCGCTACTACAAAGTTATGTCGTTACTTTTGATGGCAGCTGTCATTCTAATCAAGCTATATTGGATAGACTATAATGAAAAGTATTTGACACCTACTACCTAGTTACACATTTTGAAATAGTTTTTTATACTATCAGTTCCGATTTAAGCACCTGAATTAAGTAGTGGATGTATGTACACGTGTACATTCAGTGTGAAAATTCGCTATGAAATATTTTTTTGCCCTATATTTAAATACTCCTTGGCTCAATCCTAAAAAAAATAAATGTTTGAGGTAGAATTATATTTTATTGAAAAAAAAAACATCAAAGTATTGTCTAAATTGAATTTTTATTATTACGGCAACAGTGTAATCTGCAAAATGATGTGTTTGAATTTAAAATGTTTATTATTAAAGTGGCAAAATATAAACCCCAAGATGTAATACTTTCTGGCTCAATTTATCTTTCCATTAATTAATTAAATGATTTGGTATCCTAGAATTTGGTACAGTGAGCGTCAAATAGTTTGTGACACCCAAAGTGGCGAAAAAGTCGCGCTATGTTTGCCGGTCCGTGGAATGCGCGTCCCCTCCCCCAACCGCGATTAAACGCAATTAGTTGGTGATTAAACGCAATTAATGTGTCTTATTTTACGCAAACACACAATTTTTATCAATAATAATAAATTAAAAATATTTTAAATATAGTTTATTAAAGTTATAGACGCTTCCCTTCGAGTGACGTCATATCGCCAGCGGCAAACTTAAAGCGAACGGATAGTAGTAACAAATACGTGTTGCGAAATTTTTGGCAACTTTGTGTGTCATGACTCACGAACTATTTGTCGCTGTCTAATATCTTCTGGCCACTTAGTATTATGTATTGTAAAAAAGGTAGATATCTTTATTGTTTAAAACCTGTAATCCGATTGCACTTAATGTTTAGATTTGATTGTAATATTTCTATTTAGCTAATTGATTTGCTAAAATTAAATTTTGGCGTAACCTCATTGAAGTGTCTTCGAATTTTCTTGAATTTATTGATATTTTGCCATTTTTAGATGTGCTATATAAAATGTAGTAAAAATATTAAAGCTTCCAGTTTTTTTGAAAAAGATGATAAGGTATTTTGTTGAAGAATACAAAGACTTAAGTTTTCTTCCGCAGCTCAATGATTTTATCAAATTACTAGTAGAATTGTCTTAACTATGATTGGTTGGTTTACAAATGTTTAATTCATATTTGCTTGTTGCGATTTATTCAAGTTTGTGAGCCAGACCAGAATACGGAGGTTTAAGGTGCGTATTAAAAGCTCAAATCTCCATTCAATTTAAAGCATAATTGTGGCTTTTGATTGATTAAATTTCAGTATTTGACCAACTAATTTTGGCTTACGGTCCAGTATGTAATTAACACTTTTTCTTTACGATGAAGCCCAGACTGTAAACTGTTTGTATACCTATCTATATATATAAAAGAAAGTCGTGTTAGTTACACCACTTATAACTCAAGAACGGCTGAACCGATTTAGCTGAAAATTGTCAGGGAGGTAGTTTAGAGCCAGGAGAAGGACATAGGATACTTTTTATCCCGTTCGAAATTAAAAAAAAAGTCTGCTTATTTATTGCCATTAAGGCGGAACAAAGTTCGCCGGGTCAGCTAGTCACAAATAAATAAAACCACAGAAGGTCACCTTCAAATAGTTCGTGACAAATAAAGTAGCCAAAAAGCACTTCTTTGTTACAATTGGAATAATGGTGTGTTGTCAACTTTTTGGCTACTTTGTGCCACGAACTATTTGATGCTGACTGTACTACTAAAGCCCGGTCTGTGAGCACGTAGAATTTGGTCCAATGACCCCAAGCTACCCATCCTTATCCCACCCGACTGTGCGACGGGCGCCCGCAGTGAGTGTGCGAGCGCGACAGCAATATAATTACGCGCGTTCGAATGGGTAGCTTGGGGTCATTGGACAAAATTCTACGTGCT